TATGAATGAAAAGCTGTATGTATTTCGTCTCTTATTTTCTTTCTTACCCCTCCCTCTGCAAACTTACTAAGGATATGGATGGAGAGTATCTCTCATCAGCCATCACATAACAAGCAAACAAAAACCCAAGGAAATCATGAATGAAAAGTATCTTCCACTGACAAGTTAAAATGCAGATACGCACTGGGTGGCTTTGATGGATCTGCAATGGTGGCAAGCACTGAAGTGTATGATCCTCGTCTAGGGAAATGGATGCCTGGAGAGGAAATGAACCAATGCAGGGGATATTCAGCAGCTGCTGTTGTGAAAGACTCCATTTTTGCCATTGGAGGGGTGAGATCTGGAGAGGACGTGGTAGAAACGGTGCGTGACATTTATTTTTAGCTACTATGTAGTTGATTATAAAATATTTGCTTACTGTGATACCTCCACTTTGAAAAACAAATATTTGAGGCCAAGGTACAACTTTTGTTAGTTATGGCAAGGTACAACTGTTAAAAGTAATGAAATTGTGTGCTACTATGATTGACAGTATGAAGTTTACAAGGAAGGTGAAGGTTGGCATGAAAAGAGGTCAGAAGCAATAGGAAACAGGTGCTTTGGATTAGCCGTATATCTTGGAGGGGATTCATGAGTGCCGCCTGCTTTTGAAAAGAAGTCAGAAGCAATAGGAAACAGGTGCTTTGTATGACAATCTGTACAAGCTCTCGAAATGCATATATTACTGCTTCAATTTTTGTTAGTGCTGAAGCTGTATGGGAATTGGTAAACCTTCTTTCCACAAATGAATTCATATGTCCGATCATTTACGGTTTACCTTGGTCCAACCGTTAACCATCCATTAGTAATTTTTTTTGAAATAATTACATATATATCACCAAGTTAAATGTAGTTTACAAAAATGTGATTAGTAACTAAAGTAGTAACCTAGTCATAGTAACTTTTGTTCAATGTTTACATTTAATTGATTATAAGTTTTTTGCAACTATACTGTAGTAACCTATTAATCTAATTTTTGTAAATAAGTTTCATTTTCCATCATTTGCAATGGAGCCAAAGATTCATTATTTTTTGGCTTGAGATTATGATGGAATAAAGCAAAATGACTCACTAAATTGTTTGCCCTTTGTTATGAATCAGCCGTCAATCCATGCAATTTTGGACGCGATTTTCACTATGGGTCATCCGGAAATACTCTCTGCTTTAGTATAGGGGTAAGACTGCGTACATCCGATCTCCCTTACCTCACCGTAGGTGGGAGCCTTTGCGGCACGGGGTAAATGAAAATGATGATGAAGTTTCATTTTAGTAATACTCCGTATTTAATAAAAAACCTCACATTTGTTGGCTTTCTCATAGTAATTCATCTGGATTAGTTGGGAGTTTTCTTTCAAGGTATATATACTACCTCCCTCAAGTCCTCAACCTTAAAGCATGGGTGAAGGGGTAATCGTTAGTTCAAGCCTCGTTAAAGCTTTTGACACTTGACAGTCCAGGAAACCAATATATTGTGGCTTAAATTTATTTTAGAGAAGGTAGAAACCTCGTGCTTAATCCTTAAAATAAAACTGTACTTCCCCCTTTTTTATAATTGCAAACTTGCAACATTTTCCTTTTTTTACGTTTTTTCACGTTTGTAAATACACAACTTTAACTGCCATTGTACTAGTAAATAAATATAAAATAAAAAATCAGATTATGAAATTCAGTAATGAAGCGAATTCCACGATATTTTATAGAAAATCACATATAGTTAATAATGAATAGTGTATAATATGTAATGTTGCTACCTAATATGATGCGCAAGATAGTATTTCCGTCTTTAAAGGTTTTATTTTTTTGTCAAACCATGCGATACTTCAATCGTAAGTGTATAATACATCGACTCATAAAAGTGCAAATTTGTAAAAAGAACTATTACAAAGTATTTTTTAAATATTTAAAAAGCATCAGTCAGAGTTGAAAAACTTCAAAGAGGAAAACTTCCGGAAAATTTGAAAACTTCAAAGTTGAAAGCATCACTGCATCAGTCGATTGAGAAAGTCTATCGATGTATTTTAATCTATTTAGCTGTGATCAACTTGTTTCTAAAATATTAAAATTCTGCTTAATATAAATTTTAATTGCAAAATCTTACGCGTTCTTAGCACTTTCTTATTAAATACTCCGTAACTAATTTGCGATTCTTCTCGGTTCTCTTTTATCTGTACAAATCTCAATCACATAACTTTCATTTTTTTTCTCACCTGATTCTAACTTAGCAAAGTTCACCGAGACTGAGTAATATATGACTTTGCTTTTTCTACCAAGCATCAGATATTGCTTCAGCTTAATATAATCTTCATCGCACATTTGACTAGTACCAAGCATCGAACAAATTGAGCATTTCAAACGATTATAAAAGCTACTAGTATTTGATTAGTACCATGTATTTCATGTCCTTCTAATACAAAGACAAACTAGTGTAACACCCGGGGCATGCTGCGGTAGTGTTAATTTGAAATGGGTGATGTGACAAATACAAATTTGATCATTGTGAATTATTCATAGGATATGATCAAAATTTTGGCTATAATTGATTTCTTTTACTCCATCTGTCGCTTTATATTTAACCAAACATAATTTTTTAAGTCAATGATGTTGAACTTTGACCGATTATATATTTATATACGGTAGTAATGATAATATGGAAATGATATGAAAATGTTCTTTGTTAAAACTTCCTGCTCATAAAAGTATAAATTTATCAAGTTTCACATAAATATATTAGTTGAAATAATATATATATATCAAAGTTTATCATTTTTTATTGAAAAAGTCAAATATGGCTAAATAAAGAGGTACAGAGGTAGTATGAACTTACCACCAGCATAGGATAGAGATGATGAATCACCATCTTTTGGAGTATGAATTTGAGGTTATATTATGATTTTCGTGCTTAGTATTGTAATAGTTATTAATTATTTATATGACTAATTATATCATGAGGATGATTATAAGAAGTGTTGAATTGGAATTGGGAATATGTGGAGCTTACAATTTTACATTATTTTGGATATTCACGTGTATTATTAGTATTGTGCGATTAGAGTTCCGTTCATGTGAACTAAAAATCCATTATTTAAAAATTTAGTCTTAAATTAAAGCCTCACTCAAATGTGTAAGATTAATTTTTATGATTAGAGTCCTATTACATGTATTAGAGATTCAAAGTCTCATTATTTAAAAAATTGATGTTGTACGGTTATTTTGGAAACTGAATTGATATGGTATTTATTCCGAGAATTATACTCCATTAATATGGTTGATATTAAGAAGTTGTTATATTTTCCGGATATGAATATTTATGATCTGAAATTTTTAAGATCTGATTTTTTCTTGAATAACATACAAATAATGACTATAATAATAACAGTATGCATGATTAACTTCAATGGAAGCAACGTACAATAATAACCTATAAAAATATTTAGATTAAATTGAAATCATCATAATAGTAAAAATAATAAATTATGTCTGAACTTTTATGATTTAAATTTTTTTTATCCGAATTTTCCTGATTTAATCTAATCTAGATTGAATATTTTGGGCTAATCTTATTTGACTTTGTCTGAATAAATTAAGAATACGTAATACAAAGTAAACAATAAGAATAAGAGTAACATATATAATAGCTTCTAAGGATTTGTTTTTTAAGTTTTTTCTCCTACTTTTCTCTAGACTTGTCCATTAGCCGTTTCATCTTTGTACGAACTAATTAAATGATTTAATGTTTGGACTCTACATAATGTCAAATGTTAGTTATTTATCGGTTTTCCTCCTTTTTTCTCCATTTTTCCATTGTAGCTATTCCATCTCCTTTTTTGACCAGATCTCCTTTTTGTTTGGAACTAATTAAATGTTTTCATAATAGTGACAATAGATTTTTTGTTAATCAATAACATGGTGATATGTCATGAGTTTGTAACTCTGCTTTACTAAATAAAACAATAGATTTAAATATATAATGAAAATTGGATTCCTAATATGTGTCATGACTACTGTGTAAATGTGCACTTCCCATAATGCAAATTTAATCTCTTTCACTATAAATTTGACATATCATTGATTTATTACTCAAATTTTACAATATTTTTTTTATACATGCAATTTGTTGTCACTTTATGAAAGATCATAAAACTTTATGATTTTTGGTACACTTTTTTATAAATTTTGTATCATATGAAAGATCATAAAGAGTTTTAAATTTTGATGTATTTTTTTTCTAAAAATTGTGAGTACAAATAAATAAGTTATAATACATGAAAATAAGATTTTTCTCTCTTTCACTTTCTCAGAATGATGAATGATGCATGCAGTGAATAACAATGATGAACCGAGTCAACTTATATGATATATATATATATATATAATATTTGCATCATATTAAAGATCTTAAAAAGTTATGAATTTCAATATATTTTTGTAAAAATTGGATTATAAATATAAAAGTTATATAACTTTAAAAAAAGAGTTTTTCTCCTAATTTTACTCTAAATCAATCGTAATGCAAGATTTTTAAGTGTGATAGGCATTGAATTAATTAATTGTTTTAATTGTAATGATAATAGAACTTGAATTATCCAATAAGAAGTTGACACATCTATAATAAACTTGAGTTAAAAAATAATGATGTGTCAACTTCTTATTGGATAAATCAAATTCTATTATCATTACAATTAAATACCAATAATAATACTAGTAACGCCGTCCCTGATAATAATACCAGTTATTGTGTATATACTAAGTCACCGTGATTAACATCTTACCAAAAATCCTGTCGGGTCGGGGTATGGGGGGCTCCTGGGGTGGGAGATTCCACCTTTTGGACCAAGTTATTGTGTGATACTATAGTTTGACCCTTTTTCTCCTATGTAACTGGTATTATCATTACAATTATAGTTTGTAACTGGTATAAAACTATAGATAAAACATTTAAAATAGGCATTTGACCCTTTTAGCCCTCTTTTTAGTTTTTTTACCAGTGTCAAATTCTTTTGGGTCGTGGTCATACGGAGCAAAAAAAGGCGGCTTTGCAGCCACCGAGTAACGCCGGCAGCTTTCCGATGGAAAATCAGCTCCTCACTGAGTTTGAAAACGCGGCGGCTAACATACCGGATTCACCTCTCCCTCTCCAGGCCATAAGCTTTCTTCTGTCTCTCGTCAGCAACCCTTCCACCACCGATTCTTCTCTGTCCGCTATTATCAAAACCCTAGCCCAATCTCTCCAAAATCCTAACCACCGCCACACTCACCACCGCGCTATCCTCTCCATCCTCCATCTCCTCGCTCGCCGCCACCCCCACCGAAGACAAGACGTCATCAACTCCATCCAGTCATTCTCACTCCTTCCTTCTACCTCCACTCGCTCCTATGCCGAGGCCCTCTCTGCTCTCCTCTCCCTATCTGCTACTGACGCCTTCAACGAGCCAGAGTTCCTGTCGCTGGTTTTCCGGCCATGTGTATCTGTCAGGCTTTGGCTCTTGCGGAATGCTAGCAGCTTTGCTATGCGACCATCAGTGTTGTTCACAGTTCTGTTTGGGTTGACCAAGGATCCGTATCCTAACATTCGTAGTGCTGCCTTGGATGGACTATCTGGATTATGTAAATGCATTGTGGTTGAAGATAAGAGTCTTATTCAAGGTTGTTATTTCCGTGCTGTTGAGCTTCTATTTGACACTGAGGACACTGTGCGATGCTCTGCAATTTGTGCGGTATGATCTCCTACATTATTTATTTCCACCGTTGATATTTGGTACTGAAGGGCACCAAGTGTGTGGAAATCTTTTTGAATTGTGACATTACTAGTGTGTTTGTCATTCCTGATTAGCAAATCTTCTTATACTACATATAAATTATAATCTAACGATTCATGTGATAGTCATTGAACATTTCTTTGTTGAGAACTTGAGATTGAGTGCCTCTTCTATGTCTAATTACACTTTTGCATTTTTTCCTTTTGGCTTGGAATCTCAAAAATAAATATTAGAAAGTTTTTTATTTTCTGCATGGACTCACAATTCATTGGTCCTGATTGTTTACCTTCTCTTTAATTCCAGGTTAGTGAGTGTGGGCATTCGCTTGTGGCTGCCAACCTTGAGAAAAGTAGAAGTGATTGGTCAGACACATTATTCGTACAGGTGGCTTATTCACTATGCTTTATATCGTTCGTTTTGAACTGCTGATATATAAATTCAATGGATGTCATTTAGGGCACTACACTCCTTACCCCTGGGATTTATTTAATCTCACTATCTATTTTCTCTGCCACCTGTTGAATCATAACCAAAATGGTCATGGTAAGTGAAAAAAGTATTTTTGTCTTCTGAAGTTATTATGGATTTATGGTGCATGATTTGTTTTTAGCTTTGCTCAATGGTCAGAGATATGAGTGTCAAGGTTAGAATACAAGCATTTTATTCTCTTGGGAATGTTGAATTGGTCTCCAAAGATCTTCTCTTACTGACCCTATCAAAGAAAGCTTCTCCAGCCATGAAAGAAAAGAACTTTCCTGGACAGTTCACTGCCAAATCTTCTAAGCTACCAGCATCAAGTGCTGCTTTTGCTTTTGTGAATGGCTTGGAGGATGAATTCTATGAGGTACAACTTATCCACGAATAGGTTATAATATCTGTCTCTGACTCTGAAAAAGGTCAGCTGTATACTGTCATCTTTTGGGTTGATATGCATGTAGATTACTCCTTCCGGTCTTGTATAACTGGCCATTCAGAAAAGACATTTGTGAACAAAACCACAAACAACTTTCCATTTAGAAAACCATTAAAATATAAGTAAAATGACTATGTCACCCCATCATTTACTTGACCTTTGTTTGTTACTATTAATACCTAAAGTAATTGAGATGTGGCTGTTAAGTGTTAATTTATATTAAAATGAATGATCACTTAAAAATAATAAGTCTACCTTAGTGGACAGTTATTAAAAAACGGTAGGAGTATGTGCGGTCTGCAAGTCCATTTATTGTTGTTCCCTTTCTATAAATTTCAGTGAGACTTGTGTCACTGTTACTCTATGTTGTCATCCCATTTCATCTGAAGGTACGAAGTTCAGCCTGTCGTGCCTTACAGAGATTGACCATTCTCTCTGCTGATTTTGCGGGTGAAGCTATAAACCTTTTGGTGGATGTTCTTAATGATGATTCACTAGATGTACGGTTGCAAGCTTTAGAGGCGATGCATAGCATGGGAATGTTTGATCATCTAAAGGTGCAAGAAGCACATTTAAAGCTGGTAATTATCTGCTACATCTATTGATCTAAAATCACTCTGCAGGATTACTCCGAGACTAGTAGCATGCAAAAGCTTTTAGTCATATATTTGTTTTGTTTAACAGTATTGTTAATTAGACATTGAATGGATTTGCTAATTCAAAGAATCAAACATTCGTCTTATAGTCTTGTACTGAAACATACTCCCTCCATCCCAATTTAATGATACCATTGCGGTTTACGATGTTTGACTGACGATAAAGCAAAAGGATCTCCGTTTGCACTCAAATTATTTTTAGAAAAAAATATTACATATTCAGAAATATTCAGAAACTACATTAAAAGCTTTACAAAGTTGCAAACACCTGAATCAAATTTGATAAAAATTTGATATACAAAGTAAGAGATTAAGAGTGATTTGTGTTGACCATGTGAATAAGAATTGGTACCATCAAATTGGGACAGAGGTAGTAATAGTTACTAGATGAATAGATTTATGCAATCATCTACTTGAGATTATCCAAGCGATGCTTAGCCACAGGAACGAACTGCTCTGATACCAATGATAGGTACACAGTAAAAACAGCTAATATATTGACGGTAATTTGATTTTTGCAATGGCAGAAATAAAAGAAATAGAAGAAACAGATCGAGACTCTTTGAGAGGCCTCACTCTCCCATCCTAATTCCAACTGAATTCCAGCCGCCTACCTCTCCCTCTTCTATTCCGTCTATTTATTCTTTTCCAATGAGGCTTCCCTCAATCTATCTAATTACTTGGTCCATCCCACTATTACATTTTATTAAAATATTCAGTATTATTTCTATTATATCTCACGCCATAAACCCATAAGTCCAGGTCTCTATCAGAGTTTAATCCCCTATAATGTTTTGTATGTGCATATGTCACTGAATTATGCTTCCTTTGAAAGTTCATTGTTAGACATGCAGCAAGGCAGTCAGTGGAATTTTATAATAAAGTGTATAAAAGAAGAGTTAATAGGGATGTTGCTATTAACTAATAACTAACGGGTTAGTTAGTTAGTTACTGTCCCTGCGTGGACATTACTATAAATAGAAGGGCTCTGCTAGCTGAAGGTAGTTTTAGACTTGGCTAGAACAGGACTGGGAGATTAGGCATCTCGAATTGTCTACCATTGTACATTCTGATTTGGTGAATAAAGTGTGTGATCTGTGTGTTGATTTTGAACAATTCTGTACTCGATAGTGTATGATCTATCATTGGTATCAGAGAATTACGTTCCTGGAGATTTTCGAAGTGAGAAGATTCAGAAACTTTGTCCGTTCGAACTTGAATGGTTAAAACGAGAGCAAGAATGGATCGCCGTTTGGATTCGATGGAACAAAAACAGCAGGAAACGCAATCCGCGTTGGAAGTTCTCGCAGCTAAGATTGATGCGATGGCGACACAGTTTCAGAACCGAGGAAGATCGCGAACACCTCAAACTCATCATACGAGGGAGTCGCGCAGTCCGATACAATCCAGAGGTAATTCGGTTCACTCTCTTGTTCATAATGATCGACGGAACAATGAGTATAGGAGAGCACAGATTAGAAAGGTAGATTTACCTTTATTCAATGGCGAAGGAGCATATAATTGGATAATACGAATGGAGAGATATTTTCGTTTGAATCACATTGAGGAGGAAGAAAAAGTGGAAGCATCTATGATCGCAATGGAGGATAGAGCACTTAACTGGTTCCATTTGTGGGAGAATCAAACGGAAGAAACAAGTTGGGAGGCTTTGAAGAAATCTGTCATTCGCAGATTTCAACCAGAATTGATTCAGAATCCGTATGGACCAATGTTAAGTTTGAGACAAACTGGAAATGTGCAAGATTATAGAGAAGAATTCGAAATGGTGATAGCTCCACAGTTGCATATGGATGTGGAATTGCTGCGAGGGGTATTCATGTCAGGTTTGAAGGAGGAAATAAAATCTGAACTGAAGATGTATGCATCCAGATCTTTAACCGAGATCATGGATAGAGATGTACTCATTGAACAGAAGATAGAAACACAATTTGGAAGAAAGAAGGAAGAGGATAAACTGACAATGAAGGAAAGAGGTTCTGTACCAGTTAGGGGACAGAGTTGGGGAGATAATTCCAGAATTAAATCTGGTTACAACTGGCCATCTCAGAGTAAAATAGTAGCTGAGAATAAGTATAATAATACTGGAATGGATAAGACTGGTAAGAAGACCATTGATTCTTATCCAACTGGATTCAAAAGAACAGGACCCTTGTTATCTCAAGAGGAATTTCAGGAAAGGAGTAGAAAGGGGCTATGTTTTAAATGTGGTGAAAAGTGGAGTAAAGAACATACTTGTAAATTGAAAAATTTCAAGTTGATGTTGGTTGAAGAAGCAGTTGAGGATGAACAGCCAGAACAAATTGAAGATACCATACCAGAAAATATCCGTCAGGAAGTATTGGAATCTAAATCTATGCAGTTATCTTTGATGAGTAAAGAAGGGATTCCTACCATGAGGGCTTTCAAAGTGCAGGGGATTCTGAAGGGAGGATCAGGAGATCAACATGTGAATGTGTTGATTGACAGTGGGGCTACCCACAACTTTATTTCACAGCAGTTGGTGGAGCAATGGAAACTGCCTTTTCAGACAGTTTCTGATTACAAAGTGCAGATTGGTAATGGGGATTATATAGCCAATAACAAGAAGTGTCCTCAGTTGATATTAAACTTGCAAGGAGCTGAGATAATACAGGATTTTTATATCCTAAAATTAGGGGGCACTGATTTGGTATTGGGTATGGATTGGTTGACAAGTTTGAGAGATGTAGAGATAAACTTTCAGAGACAGATAATTAAATGGAAACAGGGTAAGCAGGATGAGTGCATTCAAGGAGATCCCAAACTGAATTCAATGGAAGTGTCATTGAAAACATTCTCACAAATATTATGTGATAATGGAGATGGTTATTTTTTATATTGTGAAGGAAGGAACATGGAAAGAGAACAAGAAGGAGGACTGGAAACCATATGGAAGCAGATTTTGGAAGAATTTCCAGAAATTACAAAACCTAGAGAAGGTTTACCTCCCAGAAGAAATTGTGATCATTCTATACTGATTCAGGAGGGAGCTAAGATACCTAATATCAGACCTTACAGATACCCACAGTACCAGAAGACTGAAATAGAGAAGATTGTGAAAGAAATGCTTGATTCTGGGATTATTCAGAATAGCAATAGTCCTTACAGCAGTCCTATACTCTTAGCCAAGAAGAAGGATGGTGGATGGAGGTTCTGTGGAGATTACAGAGCCCTTAACAAAATCACAGTTCCTGACAAATATCCAATCCCAATAATTGAAGAACTACTTGATGAACTTGGGGAGGCTACCATATTTTCTAAGTTGGATCTAAAATCTGGCTACCATCAGATAAGGATGAAAGAAGAAGATAGGATGAAGACAGCTTTCAGAACTCATGAGGGCCATTATGAATATTTAGTAATGCCCTTTGGTCTAACTAATGCTCCCTCTACCTTCCAAGCTTTGATGAATCAGGTACTGAGGCCTTATTTGAGAAAATGTGCCTTAGTCTTTTTTGATGATATCTTGGTATACAGTAGAACTAAGGAGGACCACATTGAGCATTTGAGAGCAGTCTTATCTGCTTTGAGGGATAATCAGTTGGTGATTAACCCAAGGAAATGCTCTTTTGGACAACCTCAACTAGTCTACTTGGGGCATATTATTTCTGGAGTAGGAATAACAGCAGACCCTACCAAGATTGAAGCCATGGTTACTTGGCCAAAACCCCAGAATTTAAAGGAGTTGAGAGGGTTTTTGGGGTTAACTGGCTATTACAGAAAATTTGTTAAGGGGTATAGTAAAATTGAAGCACCCCTTACACAACTCCTAAAGAAAGACAGTTTTCAGTGGGGAGAACAAGCTACACAATCTTTTGAGGAGTTAAAAAGAACCATGACTTCACTCCCAGTCCTAGCTACACCTAACTTCAATAAAACATTCATTCTGGAGACTGATGCTTCTGGAACTGGGTTAGGTGCAGTTCTCATGCAAGAAGGCAGACCTGTGGCTTTCATGAGCAAGGTATTATCTAAAAGAAACCAAAACAGATCAGTTTATGAAAGAGAGCTCTTGGCTATTGTGTTAGCAGTACAGAAGTGGAGACCCTATTTGTTGGGAAGAACTTTTGAGATTGTAACTGACCAAAAGAGTTTGAAGTTTCTGACAGAGCAGAGACTAATGGGTGAAGAACAACAGAAGTGGACCTCTAAGTTGTTGGGGTACAATTTCATCATCAGATACAGACCTGGGGTAGAAAACAAAGCTGCTGATGCTCTCTCTAGAAGACCTATGCTCCAGTCTCTTTCAATTGTGACATGTCAGGAATGGGATGGATTGGAAGAAGAATTGAAGGCTGACATCAAATGTGCAGAGTTGATTCAGAAGGTGATTTCTTATCCAGATCAATATTCAGAATTTCAGATCATTAAGGGTTTGTTATATTATAACAAGAAACTAGTTCTACCTCAAGGATCACCCAGATCATAAAGATCATGAGGGAATATCATGAAACTGCCATGGGAGGGCATTCAGGATATTTTAGAACCATGAAGAGAGTATCCAGTCTTTTCTTTTGGCAGGGTATGAGGAAGGATATAAAGAAGTGGGTGGAAGAATGTGTGGTTTGTCAGACTAATAAATATCAAGCTTTGAAGCCTGCAAGACTGCTACAACCACTCCCTATACCAAATAGCAGTTGGACTGACATTAACATGGATTTCATTGGAGGATTACCCAAATCACAAGGGAAGGATACTATACTTGTGGTGGTGGACAGATTAACTAAATATGCTCACTTTATTGCTTTGTCACATCCCTACAATGCTAAGGAGGTAGCTGATGTGTTCATTAAAGAAGTGGTCAGATTACATGGGTTCCCTAAAACTATAGTTAGTGACAGAGATAATGTTTTCCTCAGTGCTTTTTGGTCTGAACTATTCAAATTGGCTGGGACACAATTGAAGTACAGTACAACTTATCATCCTCAGACTGATGGTCAGACTGAGGTAGTTAACAGATGCTTGGAAACTTATCTCAGGTGTTTAACAGGAAGAAAACCAAAAAAATGGCTTAATTGGTTACATTGGGCTGAATATTGGTACAATACTAACTATCATGCTGCACTGAAAACTACACCTTACAAGGCTCTATTTGGACAGGATCCTCCTGCAGTAATTAGAGGTGATGTTACAGTTACTGCAATAGAAGAAGTTTCAAAACTGACTGCTCAGAGGAATATAATATTGGATGACTTGAAAGAGAATTTGGCCAAGGCTCAGAACCAGATGAGGCAGCAGGCCAATAAACACAGGAGAGAGGTTACATTGGAGATAGGGGATCAGGTTTATCTGAAAATTCAACCTTATAAGCTGAGGAGTTTAGCTAAGAGGATGAACCAGAAATTAAGCCCAAGATTTTATGGTCCATTTCAGATTATTGAAAAACTCAGTTCTGTGGCTTTTAAACTGCAGTTGCCAGAAGATTGCAAAGTTCATCCTGTGTTTCATATATCTTTGTTGAAAAAAGCTATATCATCTACTACTTACTTTCAACCTCTACCTAAGTGTCTGAATGAAGAATGGGAGTTACAGGTTGTGCCGGAAGAAATTTTGGACACAAGGGTTGATGCAGATGGTAATTGGGAAGTACTGGTTCATTGGACCAATCTACCACAGTTTGAAGATTCTTGGGAGTCAATGAAAATGATCAAAGAACAGTTTCCAGAGTTTCACCTTGAGGACAAGGTGAATTTCCAGGGGGGAGTATTGTTAGACAAGCAGCAAGGCAGTCAGTGGAATTTTATAATAGTGTATAAAAGAAGAGTTAATAGGGATGTTGCTATTAACTAATAACTAACGGGTTAGTTAGTTAGTTACTGTCCCTGCGTGGACATTACTATAAATAGAAGGGCTCTGCTAGCTGAAGGTAGTTTTAGACTTGGCTAGAACAGGACTGGGAGATTAGGCATCTTGAATTGTCTACCATTGTACATTCTGATTTGGTGAATAAAGTGTGTGATCTGTGTGTTGATTTTGAACAATTCTGTACTCGATAGTGTATGATCTATCATTCATATGATGATTAACTTTGGAGCTCAACTTGTTGTGCAGTTTGTCAGTACTCTTGTGGATAATGACAATTTGATAAGGTCTGCAGCAAGGAGAGTACTTAAGATAACTAAACTCAGGACTTTGACTCTTTTCAGAATGTGTATTGACGGCCTTGTAAAAAATTTAGAACTCTATCCGCAGGTATTATATATTTAAACAATTGTTATCAATTTATTGTATTTGTGTGTGTATGCTTGTTGATTTATATGGTAGTTAAGTATCCTGTAGTTTTATTACTGTCTTAGAATTTTCTACCCACTTTTTGTAAAGGGCTGTGTCGTTGATATTGTTTCTCCTTTTTCTGTCAGCAACAACCATATAATTTCACTATCTTAATAAGCACGCCAAGTCATTAACTTTTTTCAGCAGGGGTGTACTTTTAAAAGTGAATTTACTGTAGTGTTTTTATATACTTACAGCACTAACAGCAGTTTACCCCACCGTAGGTGGGAGCCTTTGCGGCACTAGGGTAAATGAAAATGATGAAATGACAGCACTAACAGCAGTAATAATGTTGACTGATGAAACTTCTCTTTCTATATATTTCAGGATGAAGCTGATGTGTTTTCCGTATTGTTTAGTCTTGGTAAAAAACACGGGAAGTTTGTCGTGAACGTGATCCATGGGGTTTCTGCTTTGGTAAGTATTACGGAGTAGTACGTAATATTAGTACCACTGGTGATTTGATTTTGGTTTAACTGATTCACTTGCCACAGTATGAATCACACACTTTAGCATTGTCTTGTCACAGATGGACCTATAAAATGTCATCTATTTTCATGACGTTGATTTTTTAACAGTGTCTCATCTTTGCACCAGATAGAGCCGTCTCTTGGTGGGAAGTGGAGCATTGACAATGCGAGAACATCTTCATTTATGGTGTTGGCCACCTCAGCTCCGGTGTCACTAGAGCGGGGAATCTGCAGCATTCAACCAGTAATGTTCTCTTATGCAGTCACCATACTGGGGAGAATATCACATGGTTTAACTGATGTAATGGATCAGAATAACCTGCTCACTTATCTCTCTCTTTGCAGCAGATTCACATTTGCTTCTGCTGCAGAGTTCTTCAAAGCGGAAGAGTGTGGTTCCTCACATTCTAAGGAAGGTGATGCTTACTTGTTGATTCAAAATGTAACTGATGGAGTTTGCTCTGAGAAAATAAATGAGGTAAAGAGGGGAGATTGCACAACAGCTATTCTACAGAAGGTCACAGACATCTGGCCATTGCTAGAACTTGGATTGGTGGATAAAGTATCTAAAACTGTAGGGTATGTTTGGATCTCAGTAAGTGATGTGGAAAGTTATTTTCATAGAGAAAGTCTAGATGAACACTAATGATGTTTTAAATTGGACTGGTTTCAGTCCTAGACTAGAGAGACTTAAACAGACCACACCAGACCAGACTTCAACGATTAGAAAATACAAATAGAACATACATCTACTAGACCAGACCAGATTTAAAGACCAAATCAGATCAGAAAATTCCAGTCCAATTAAAAACATCCTAAGGTATACATGATTAGGAATCACTTGTATGTGACATGTATTTTTTTGGGTGATGGTCACATGCCTAACTTCCGTCAATCAATAAATGCATGTTACAAGGGAATGTCTTAATAATGTTTTATTTTAATGTTCTTCTAGACGTAGTCATTTTCTCACAAGTGGGCGAGTGGCTTTATAATACCAAGGGAAACCAAATATGGGGTATTTATTTTCAAAAATTTCCATATGTTTAGATTTCTTTATATGAAGAAATACTCCCTCCGTCCCTAATCTTTCTCCCTTTTCGGCTGAGCACATTTATTAAGATAGTGGGATTTGTGTGGTGGAGAGTTGTGCAGAGGAGAGAGAAATGTGTAAGAATGTGTAAGAATGGTTGTGAACCACAAATTTTTTGCTAAAAGGGGGAAGAGGAGATAATTTTGGGACGGACGAAAAAGGAAAGTTTGAAGATAATTTAGGGACGGAGGGAGTATATAAATACAACAAGTTTGAACAAATATAAATAATTGTTTTTCGAGTAGAATTCTTTCTTGTCTCCCCAAATTTTCATTCATTCCAAGTTTCTGCACTACTTTCCTTCATATTTTCTGTCATGCTTAGTATATGTGGCCAAGATGGACCCTTAAGATTGCAAATTATTGAGATTCTTTACTATCGATATGTTCATGTTATAAACAAGATTAAATATATTCTCTTGATCTGCTTGCATGCAATATATTCTGATTCTTTCACACATACAGATGCTTGAAGGAGGAGGTGAAAAGATTGGATAGTGACTCCCAATGCAGGGGTGAATCGGTTTTCATATCATACTATTTGGATGCCATAGAACTGATCGGAAGGGTGTGGGGCCGCCTCATGTTACCCAGAAGGTTCTGCACCTATCAAATAGGAGACTGGCGAGTGTTGTTTGACAAACTTGACATGATTCTAAAAGAGATGAAGTATAGGTTCATAGATTTGACGAAAGAGGATGAGTATCATATCATGGAACTCAAGCTTGTGACGGAAACAGCAAAACTGTGTACATCAGAAGCATTCTTCCATAATAACCACAGTGCTTTAGAAAAATTACGTTCCAGGGCACAACTGATGCATGAATATGGATCTGATTCACTTTCAGGGTTTGTCAGGGAGCTTTATACAGGTTTGAATGAATGCATTCCAATGGAGAATCCATTATTTCTCTTGACGTCTCTCAAGAAATTCAAACCGAGACAGTTAGTTTTACCACCAAGAAAGTTCAGATGTATTATGGCTGAAATGGATGTTGAAGGTACTGACTTTCAGTATCCTCTTCCGTTCGTTCCGGGGTTACCTGTTGGTGTTTCCTTTTCAATGAAGATTTACAATGTGTCGTTTGAGAATAGGCTTTGGGTGAAAATGTGCGTAAAAGAGAAGTTAACCCAGTTTGCCTATCTTGATTTGCTTGAGCTTGGTAGTGGAGATGATGAGGTCAGAAAGTTTAAGATTGTATTGCCGTTTCACAGAACCCCTAAAGCCAAATGTTTCTCATTGAGGGTATGTGTTGTTATAGAATGTTTATTGCCAGACTATGCACCCCAAACCCCCCTGCCCGTGATTTATGGTGGTCCAAAACATGATGTTGCTCATATATGCGAGGAGAAAGAAGTGTATTTCTCCATGGTTGTAAAATAGGTGATGCAGTTTATGCATCTGTTGTAAACTTGTATATGTCATTCTAGTTGGATACAGTCCTATTTCAGGCACAAGTAATTTAGAGAAGTATGTTCATCTTGCCAATGAATGCGCCCATAAGCGTTGCACATGCTAAGCCTGTCTTCTAGTCTCAATCACTGGTGAACATTAAGATATTCTAATGTCAACAAAAATGGGTATACTTGGTTCAGAAACCAATTTGTTCCCACTTCCCCGTCCAAACCTCCAACGGAAGCAGGGTAGTATTTTCTGCTCGTAGAAATCCAAAACCAATATGATCAACCGACATCTAATGGCAAACTGGCAATATTCCCCGGTAGCCATTAGCGAATATGTTCATTAAAGATGGATATGAATCAGTGATTGGCATCAACAGTTGTCAGTGATAGTGCCCAATATAGTGGCAGTCAACAATCTGGCGGTAGTATGAGTTTGTGGTCCGCCGTATGATATCGGAGATGTTAATGCTATTGCTAGTGATATGTCTGTGGTGGCACTTTGCCATAGTTAATCGTAGGGATGGACTTGGGTCCGGGCCGGGTCCGGGTCGGGCCTAGGCCCGGGCGGGCCGGCGGTTCAGAAATGGTGGACCCGGGACCGGCCCGGGTAACCACCGGGTCCGGTCCGGGTCCGGGCCGGGCCCATTATAATTTTTTTTTGTTTTCCTCTTCCTAATTAACCCCCCTCCCACCCCCAACCCTCCAAACCACCCCAAATGGCCCAAAATACCCAGCCCAACCCGAAAATTTAAAAAAAAAATTGAAAAAAAATAGTTTTTGGCCCGAACCGGATCCGGGCCCGGCCGGATCGGGCCTTGTTTTGGGTGACCCGAGCTCGGACCGGAAAACCCACGGGTCGGGCCTACCCGGACCGGTCACTGACCGGGCCACCGGGTCGGATCGGGCCGGAACAGTACTGGTCCCGGGCCGGTTCCAGGTCGGGCCACCCGGCCCGAGTCATGAAAGGCGAGCTGGGAATATGGGATAGTCATGATCAACTAGTGGTGGCGGTTATGATTTTTTTTTGTTTTTTTGTGTGTACAACTTCGAGATCAAATCTATTATAATATAAGTTCAAAATTATATCAATATCCTTGATTAAAATGTGATTCAAATCAATGACCTCATCTTTAAAAGAGTAGCAGACAATAGTGGTGTTATTAAAATTTGGCATAAATCTTTTGGTTTTCAAACTATTTTATGTTTAGTAAACTTGGAAAATGTTAAAAGAACTACATTTCTGATTTTGTCACTTGAAAAGAAAGTGAAGTATGCTTTCTATTTACATAATACAACTTGTCTAATCGATATTTTCCCACATTTTCATTTTCAAAGTAATAAACTTTTACAAACCTTGTCTAATCGATATTTTCCCACATTTTCATTTTCAAAGCTAACTGGCATCAGTAGAGGACTAATACGAAGCACTCCCTAATACTGAACTTTTATAAAAATAGTATTCATCCGTCCAGTTAAGATTTTTAAATCATTCTTACTTTATAATTTAGTATCAATCACATAAATTCATTTTTCTAAATAACCGTACCTTCTTATCATGTCTCAATGTTAGTGAGACCAAAAAATTTGAGTCAATTTCAGACTTTAGTCGATTCGTATTGTTTTCGGTCAATGTTAGCCTGGTTTTGTTGGCCGGTTTTGGTTGGGCGGGTTTTTAATCCAAAAGTGTAAACTTTAAACTTAATAACTGATGAGTTCGTCACTTTGAGTCGGTTTTTTATTTTATCGGTTCGATTTTAATCGGTTTTCGGTTTTGATTGGTCGATTTGTCGGTCGATTTTCTTTTTTCTTTTTTTTTTCACTCCTTGTTTATACTTAGTTTTTAGGGAAGATTCCCTAAACAGGAGTAAAAAAGCTTTGAAATTCCAAAATAGGAGTATCATATTTTTTATTACTTGAATAGGAGTAAATTTCTGGCAAATTCCAAATTAGGCTTTAAAACATGACATTTTTTCCAAACTTGCCAGATTACTCATATTCAGGGAATAAAAAACATGATCCACCTATTTTGGAATTTCAAAACGTTTTTGCTCCTATTTAGAGTAATTTCTATAGTTTTTATTTCTTCATTGGTCTTAATGTCATTTTATCAAAACTTGTGACATCTCTATCGGTATTTACCTAAAATGTATTGATATCTTACCGATATTGATATTTGACATTACAGTTAAAATATAGGATGAATATGGATCTCATAAGATTCACTGATGCATGTTCCTCCTCTTTTCTCCATCTCTATTGGATTTATTTATAAAAAAACTGAGAAGTATCAACTTCGTTTAATTGCAAAGTTCAAAAACCGTAGGTTTGGATCAAACCAGTCAGCCAAGCCTAAAGCAATGGCGACGCCTGCGGTTACGCCTACTTCGAACCGCCAATCCATCACCGCCACCGCCACCATAGCCTCCCCTGATACGGGGACCTTCGTTACCACCCCTGCTTTTCGCAACTTTGTAAACCAAATCTCGGAGAATGTACGGAATGGCCTTTCCCACCGCCGTCCTTGGTACGAGATGGTTGCCCGCTCCGCCATCTCCAAGCCGGATTCCTTCTCGGAAGCCACCCTCCGCGTCCGGAAGAACTACAGCTATTTCCGGACGAATTACCACATTCTCACCGCGGCGGTGATCGGAATCTCGCTCATGAGCAGTCCGCTCACCCTCTTCCTCCTCGTTGCCCTCCTCGCCGGCTGGCTCTTCCTCTACATCTTCCGCCCTGCCGATCAACCTCTCGTCCTCTTCGGCCGCGAGTTCTCCGATTTTGAAATCCTCGCCGGCCTCGTCGTGTCTACCCTGTTTGTGGTCTTCCTTACGAGCGTCGGATCCGTTCTGGTCTCCGCTCTGTTTGTGAGCATCGCGATTGTTTGCGTCCATGCCGCTTTTCGTGTTCCAGAAGATTTCTACTTCGACGAACAACAGACGGCTCCTGCTATTGGGATCATCTCTTTGTTGACCGGCGGCGCAGCCACAAACGTTGCGGTTCCGCCTCCTCCTGCCGCCGCAGCTCGCGTTTGAATCCGCTAAATGCGGGTGATTGGTTAATCAGTGTCCTGTAGAACTCGATGTATCATACCAAAATTCTCAAATTTGCTCGGTTATGAACAGTTCATGATACCATAATTTCAGTTATGCCCATTCAGTTCTGCACATTAAAATGTCCAAACATGTTTACTTAGGTTAATGATATCAAAAATTCTTTGTCTTTGAGGGTTTTTTTGTCCGTGAATCTCAGTTCACATACAAAAATAAGCTTGTTTTGTTTTTAGAATTTTTCACAGACAAAACATGCCCGTTTTTGTTTGTGGACTGAGATTCACGGACAAAAATTTTTTTAACACGAAGGTGTACACCAAATGACAAAAAAACATGCCCGTTTTTGCCCGTTTTTGTCTGTGTACAAAATGACAACAAGCTTTTTGTCTGTCGTCCACCCTAAAATCAGACTTGAAATGAATCACCTCCGTGCTCCGTAGAAGCATTATAATTATATCTTTGGTCATTATTGTTATATATGACATTATGGAATAAATTTAAATAAATTAATGATTTGATGATGTTCTATAACAATATTGTTATGTCACGAATATAGGTTAAACGTTATATTAGTGAATAATTAAAGAAATATATAAAAATTTTGACAACCAAACATTCCAACCCAGCTGGTTGTGAGGTTATCGTGTCTCAAGTTCGAAATCCGCTAGGCACATAAGGGTTTGAAACTCTATGGAGTGAGTTTCAACCCTGATTACTCCAAGCCCTCAGGCTTCCTCCCCAGCCCCTCTCTCCCAGACCCCTGGGGTAAAAATAAAATAAAAAATAAAAAATAAAAAAATTGACTTCAAAAAGCTCAAACCGAAAGTTAAAAGTGGATAGATGAATTATTTTATACTACACGTAGTATTTAGAAAACCACTGATTGCTCCCGGGCTCCCGGCCCGAGTCGTGTCCATTTTATCCCCAATTTTCTTTTAAATGTCCCCAAGTTTTATCGCGTGACTAAGACACGGTGTGACTTTCTTTCAAAAAAATGACCAACACTTTTCAATTTTCTACATATAAACACCTACTCCTTCCGTCCCTTAAAACTTTGTCAATGTTTCTTTTTTGGATGTCTCACTAACTTTGCCACTTTCCCTTTTAAGTAAAGAATTTGTACTTCCAGTTAATTCTCTCTTCTCTCTGCACAAAACTCAACCACACAGTTTTTACTTTATTAATCCCAGTGCCGGTCAAACTTGGCAAAGTTTTAAGAGACGAAGGTAGTATATTGTTTCTACTATCTTAGGAAGTACGGAACAATAAAGATATGTTTACTTCGCAGCTAAAATCACAGTTAGGTTAGTAAGACATGTGAAATAAACCTGCAAGCTGCTTAAAAAGCTGTTTAATAATCGAAAAAGATGCTTAAAGTGTTGCTTACTAAGCATATCACCCACCATTTATTGATTAAGTGGCACTTTAAGCTTTTTCAGTTTCCGAATTTACCCTTACCTTTATTCCCTAAATATAAGTAATTTCTACCAAGTTTGAAATAAACTTGGCAGAAACTGCCATGTTTAAAACTTGATAATGTCAAACATGACGGAAATTACTCCTACTGAGGTAATAAAAAATGACAATCCTATTTTAGAATTTCAACTTTTTTACTCTTATGAAGGGAATCTCCCCAAAAGAAAACTAATGTTCGCTGAAAGTTTTTGGGTGTTTTACCTTAATAGGACTAAAACATTTTTTTTTCAAAATAGAATATAGTTTAAACATCCTTAGATAGGACTTTTTATTTGTGATTGAACCAAAATACTATTATTGTTGTCCCTGGATTGCCACCTGCCGCCGACTACCCGCTGCCACGGCTAGATAATTTCCAGAATTCTTTCCTGACAATTTGGCAGCATTTCTGCCACCGTCCCCGCCGTCTGCCACCGGAGTTCACTGCTGCCGCGGTGACACCACCACCGGCCCGCCACCATCGGACTGTCTTGGTTGTGCCCGAGAACTAGGAAGCAATTAATTGGGTTAATTAATTAGTTCAATTAAGGATAAAAGTTTTTCTCAAACATTAGATCTTATTTTTGAAAGAAATCTATGTGTTAGTCCTAACCGTAGCAATTTTCTCAAAGTTTTTTAGAGTGTGCGTACAAAAGTAATGTTGGTGAAACTTGAAAGTTCATCTTTATGCAAAGAAGTCAAATTTATAAACGTCAACATTGGTAGGACCGATGCGTAATAAACCTAAACTTCGGGGGTAGATGTAATTAACTATATCGAGGTAATATAACTCCACCACCACCATTCTTTTTGTTATCCAGCGAGTATAAAGGGCAGTACATTTCATCGGGAGGGTTTTGTACTGCTTTGAGTCTTTGAGTGAGTCATCGGAATACAGGCAGGGCTGCTTCTTCGTCGCCGGGAATACAGTTAGTCGGAAAATGCCTTGCCTTAACCTGTCAACGAATGTTAACCTGGAAGGCATTGATATCTCCGCCATCCTCAAAGAAGCTACTTCCGTTGTTGCTAAACACACCGGAAAACCTGAAAGCGTATGATTACTTTTCCGCCCCCCCCCCCCCCCCCCCCCCCCCCTCTCTGTGTTCGTATTACGGAGTATTATTTGTAGGTTGAAATCTAATTGCGCAAATGATCTCCTTCGTTGATATGTCGTATTCCAATTTACCGGTGATTAAAAACTCGGTGCCAAAAGGAGGAGACGAAGAATGAAATTAGAAAGGCAATTATATATGTATAGATGTACTCTGTTCTTGTTTGAATTGAACTAGGCAGTGTGAAAATGTGAAATGAGGATTATTACCTCTCTATTTCCTGGTTGTATAGGCTCCTCAGTCCTCGTTGATGATTTGTAAGTTTCTTAGTAAATTGCGTTTGAAGAGATGCTCCATCTCAACGCAGTTCTGTATGATGACTACAACCTTTCACAAATAGAAAAGCCTGATACCTAGTGCACAGTTAAATTCAGAGTTTTAAGTCTGTACACACTATATCATGCTTTCATGCTTTCACTTTTCATTGGTAATCAACACCTCTTGAGGAGTTTTATTGTAGTTGATGGAATGTGAAACTATTGTTATGATGTTCTGCCTCTTTTTGCGTTCTTGAGTCAATGTGTGCTTAAATGTGAATTCTGTACTCGTCCGGGATGCAATTTGGCTATAGTGTATTTGTAGGGGATGATGACTTCCACAATTGACCTCTCACTCCAAATCTCCAATGCATTTGGCTAGTGGCTGTAGTTATATATTTTGTCAGTTGCTGCTAATCTGATGCATTTGGCTTGTTCCTATAGTCTAAACTAAATATCATTTTTTATGGTGCAGTATGTGATGATTGTGTTGAAAGGATCTGTACCGTTGTCTTTTGGAGGGACAGAGGAGCCAGCAGCGTATGGCGAGTTGGTCTCTGTTGGGGGGCTGAATGCTCAAGTTAACAAGGATCTGAGTGCTGCCATTGCTGCTATACTTGAAGCTAAGCTGAAAATCCCCAAGACACGCTATTTCCTGAAATTCTATGATTCCAAGGCAAGCACATATTATTACACTTGCTCTCTCTAAATGGTTTGAAGGATGATCCTTTCAACTCATTTTGCATTTTCTCTCGTTGTTTAGGCCAATCCATGTCAAGAATATGCACAATGCCTTCATGCTTTACACCAGAACTAGTAGTTGATAATGTAAACAGACTTTCACTGCTCATCATAATCACAACAAATTACTCCGTATTTATTAGTGCTTGTAGTTTTTGTATACCTTATTAGCTTCCCCCAGGCTCTAGTGGTTGGTTGGTTGACGACTTCAGAGGTGAGGGGAAGGGTGGGGAGGTGTGTTATTTATTTTTAATTAATTTCTACATGTAGCTGGTCGGAAATAAAGCCAGGCTGTAAAACTATTTAGAATTACATGAGCTGAAGTAAGCATATAGTTATTTCTAGTTTAAAAATAAGAAATGAAATAAAATTCAATGCTCCCACACCCGCCCCTGAATCCGCTGAAAACAAGCCCTAGTTGTTGGTTGCTTTTACGTGGAACATTTTTAACTACAAGTGGCCTTTTGAATATGATAATGCTGATGCTTATCGACCTTTATCTGTTTTGCAGGGCTGCAACCTTGGGTGGAATGGCTCCGTCTTCTAGCTGCCGGCGTGCCCATAGTATTGAACTCGGGGTTTGACTGTGCTGAATCCTTTTATGGGCATTGTATAATATATGCGTTTGATGCAAACTAGAATTATGTCTATCATTCCGCCGTGTGGGGTGGTAGACCCCGAAATACCAAGTCGCCTTTTAAATAATATGTAATGATCAATGTCCTGGATTACATTCTAAGTTCTCCTTGGCTTTTGTCTCATACTTCTCTTCCTTCATATATCCCTGGTTCTATTAAGTATTTGGTCTATTACTCTACGTCTCCACTATTATGGAACTTATAAACATCTTTCAAACATTGATTAGCTAATAACACTTCTAAAATTCACAACCCTAAACACAAGCGGAATTGATCAAAAGATTGTAAAATAAATCAATACGTATTATTTTGAATGTTGGATTCAAATTTTATTTAATTGCCTAATACAGAATAGTATGTAGTAATATAACTACATGCTTGAGGTGCCTTTAGTCTATTGAAGCCTACGTGTTGTTTACTATTCCATACATGTATTGTAATAGTTGACTAGGATTATTATTTGCATGACACTTGACTAGAATTCTTTTCGTCCTTTTTTCATTCGTAACCATCATATTGCAGAGATGCCAAACGAAGTATTTAGAAGCCAACAATTACAGATTTTGTAAGTCTAAATGATTCGTAGAAGCCTTCAGAAAACAAAGGCGTTAAACCAGAGTACCAGACACAGGATGAAGAACAAAAATGTGCCTCAAATAAGAAGACAATGGATTGACTATAATCTTTTCTTCATGTCTCTCAAGAATATAGCGTGTAGAGACTATGGGAGAAGCTCGATTGTGACATTGTGTGTATCAAGCCAACACGATCCAAATTAAGACTATTTTGAGATGACTAGTAAACCACAAGCTACAAAGATAAGGTAGTTCTGGAATATCGTAAACTAACTCAGTGCTGCTAAACAGGTTGCAGGGCCATTTTTAGAACTCTAGAGGCCCTAGACGAAACAACACTTGATCCTAATGAACTATACGTGTATTTTATGACCAAATACGCTTGAGATAAATTGAAAAAAAAAACATAATATGAGGAAAAATGAAACTCCAAAAGTTAATCACAATAACCATACAATCGGATGGCTACATGTCCCAAGCCCCTTTTAATAATATGTAGTAATAATCTACACATATTACCTGAAGCTTAACTGCAAAAGAGGTAAAGGACGGAATGTGGTGAAAGCTTTAAATTCGAATTTACGGATGCCACTTATTATCGGTAGTTGCAGATTCAATTCAAAATTGCACACTACTAGATTTTTCAAAAAATATACTCCCTCCGTCCCGCAATGAACTTCTCACTTTCCTTTTTTGGATGTCCCAGAAACAAGTTTCTAATGTCCTTAAATGGCAAGTTAATCTACATCAAAATAGTGTCAAACAGTGCAAATTAAAACAGTGTCAATCAGTGTCAAAACAGTGTCAAACAGTGTCGAAATGTGTCAAAACAGTAAAATTTACTCCATGATAAGTTTATTTCCTTAATATGTGTATAGGTCAAATTGTGAAGTTCATGGTGGGACGGAGGGAGTAGATGAGTAGTATATTACTAATAGAGTTTTTTAATATGGGTCCTCCCTAAAAAGGTGGCCCAAGGAAGCTGGTTGGGCTAACTCGAGCTAACTCCCCTCAAAGCCGCCTTTGATGGGTTGTTAAGAACGAGGAGCAAGCCTTATTGCCATTGAGTTCTCTACCTGCAACTTGGAGCCTGGGAGACACTTGTTATCATCCTTATCAATTTTGCCGTTGGAAAAGTAATGATGAACATGGTCATAGTCTTATACTCTTATAGATGCTCTGCTCAATGAGGAGGGCAGGAGGAAAGAAACTAGCATTGACCAATCATGTGTTCTCATTTAAGGATACATAAAGTGGTGGAGGAAAACACAATGGTAGAGGTTGAGGTTGGACAGAAGCTGAGGTACTCAAAGGGAAGGCTACAATCCTAAGAGTAACATCCAACCGATCCGACCCGAACGGTTTAGTTAACCCAATATGACACGACACACGATTCGAATTTGTTGCACATGAGCGTGCTTTTAAGGACAATTGGTACATTTCATTAATAGAACACCATACGGAAGCATTTCCTTCACACCCAACGAAAGGAATTGCTGCATGATTACATGAAAATCGTGACTCTTCATATTTTTCATCAACAACTTATCTAAGTAAACACATCTTCTCAACTTGGATGTGTATCCATTCAGAAATCGTCTTGATATGAGCTATGAGCTATTGTAATATTATTTTGTTAGCTTGTGTTTGTTCAAGACTGGTAAATCATTTTCTTAAGTTGGATGCCAATAGATCTCGTCACTATCAAGTTTTTTGTTTGCATTTCATATACATGCATTTTATTTTATTGGTGTTCATATACAAGTGTTTTATTTTGCACTTCATTTTAACAAATTCACTAAAATCTTTAATAAATTCTTTGGTCAACTCTCTACCATTTCCAACATATCTATTATACATCCAACCTCTACTTTGTCAATACATGATGCCTGTATATTTAAAAATTAACATAAATTAATATTTATATGAAATACTGTATATGTAGAAAAGAATTTATTTACTAGTGTTAATTTTGATCTTGATGGTGCCAATTGGTTGAACGACTCTCTCGTAAAGTTTTGACTTGGAAAAACGTAACCCTATCCAGAATGGTTTTAAGTAAACATGTATCATCTCATTTTTTATAGTAATCATTTTGGTGATTTTGTAAGAATTTTTTCAGGCACTGACTATGTATCACTAGACTGATGCATTCAGCTCCTAATTAAATATTTGAATAAGACATTGCTAGTTGATCACATGGGAAACTGTTTGCCTACAAATAATCTAAACTAGCAATGTAAATGAAAACCTACATAAAGAAGACTTCAAATTCACATCATATGAGAACACATTCTCAAACTTGCAGAGGAGCTGCGCTAGTGTTGAGGTTTATGGATGTAGACATATAGGGGATTTGGGTTTCTTGGTTAGGAATGTGTATTTTGAATGGGGTCTTTCCCTTGTTTTTTTGCTTCCCTTTCATTTTCATTTTCATTTTATTTTTAAATTGTACTCCCATGTTGCTTATCTTTAATAAAAAATCATTTCTTGTCAATATTGATGTATATATACATTGTAGGTTTGATACCTGTACTTTGTGCGTCGCATGATTAGCAAGTAGGAAGTTTGTGATAATGTTGTTTCATTTTTTTAGGAAATCCCACTACGATTATCCCATAACTAATTTGATAAAGTCCGTGTGATTCTAAATCATTGTTACTTTATTCTTACTTTATTATTTCAACATCAACCACAAAAATTTACTTTTCTTAATAATTGTGTCACTCTCTCATATCTCAATGTTAATGAGACGGATGTATAGTACTCTTTATCATATATATATACTTTCTCATCGCTTTAAAATGATTGATCAAAGTTTACTACTATTGTTGACTTAAAGAATCATATATGACTAGGGATGTTTTAATTTGGATAAAAAAAATTTGACTTGGTCTGATTTGGTCTAGTAAATATAATGTCTGATCTATGTGTCTGATTTAATCTGGTCTGATTTGGTCTAATATTATGTGATCCAATAAGCGAACTAGTCCGAGCAAGACTCAAATAAGTTGGAAGTAAACACATTCTAAACAAAGTTACGTTACTATATACTTATATCCTATAGGTAATATGCTTCAGATGAAGCGGTGGGTATGCCGTATGCTTCACCATATACAGGTCGATCTTTACTGTTTAATTGCTGCATCGAATATCTCCCGCACCTACATACGCCATCGAATATCAGATGGACGGCGGTGGCGGAGAGAAAGATTTGAAGGCATTGGTGAGGGGATGCATAAAGCGACGATCGAGGGGGCCGTGGAAGGTGGAGAAGAAGACGAAGAGCGTGAGGACGGTGACGAAATACCGGGAACAAGGAAAGGGAGCAAAAGCGGCGGGCAGTGGCGAAGAAGATATTCCAGGACCTTCACCCTCTTTGCTCTTTGCCGATCGAGAAGCCGGCTGTTAGATAACTTTGAAGTAAAGTGTTTGATAACTCAATTATTCACAATTATCTATTTAGACATAAAATGACGATATGTGATACGAATAGAAAATGTTACTAGTACCGTACGGGTAGTTCAGTTGGTTCAGTGTTTGAAAATTTGAACCAAGTGACAAAGGTTCGAAACCCGTAGTGACCGTGTGGATGTCACAGAACCTGAAATAAAGCTGGGCTTCTGGTGCGCACGGGAAAAAGACCTACCATCATTGGACCGACTGAGTCAACGTGATTAACATTCTCCCAAAAATCCTATCGTGTCGGAGTATGAGAGGCTACTGGGGTGGGAGATTCCACCTTTTGGACCAAGAAAATGTTACTAGTTTTTTTTGGATGAATAGAAAATGTTACTAGTGATTATACGACTAGTAACAATAGTGACAGGGCCGGCCATAGGGGTAGGCACCTAGGCAATGGCCTAGGGCACCACTCCCAAAGGGGCATCATTCTCCTGTCCAACAGGTTTTGATCCGAACGCCGTCCGAACAACGCCTTTCGGGGTGCTTCCCGCTGGAATTTTTTGATGAAATTTTTATGGTATGTTCTTCATCAAGTCTAGTTTATCCAAAAAACATTTCAGCTCAAAATCCGACCGGGAAGGCCGTCAAATGATTTTTGGAAATTAACTGCGCAAAATTATACATAGAAAAACGCAGTCAACTTTCAAAAATTATTTGACGGACTTCCGGATCGAGTTTTGAGCTGAATTTTTTTGTGAATAAACTAGACTTGATGCATAACATACCATAAAAATTTCATCGAAAAAATCCACCGGGAACCGCCCCAAACGGCGGTATTCGGACGGTGCCTCAGGTCCGAACTTTCGGACCTGAGAATTTTCCTATATATATAGAATAAATTGGCCTAATAAGAATTACTGATCATTATGATTACCTCGTTGATAAAAAACGGAGTTTTAGTGACAAACACTAAACTCCGGGCTTGCAAATGGTGAAAAAAGTGTTATCTATTCTTATAGCCAAATAAGAATTTATATTTTCACATACTTTAATTTACATCAATTTTAAATCAAGTATTTCTTTTTACATTTAGTAAAAAATGATGTTACAATTTTCAAATTATTTCATATTTAATTTTGTTATTAATTTGAAGTACAATTTGATATCATTATTTATTTTTTGTCTAGGGCACCAAAATTCCGGCCCTGAAAAGTGATTATATATAATTTTTGTTTAACTTTTACATTTTTTTTAAAATTTGGATCATTTCTTGGGCAGATGACAAAATTGCAAAAAAAAAATTAAAACTCTGTACTCCGTATAACTTTATTTATTATTATAAAGTTATTATTATTACAGTACATTGATAATGCAAATATATGCGTAGTAAAATGGAAGGAAAATGTTTCCGTTTTGGCATCAAATAAATATTCAGATCTCTTCATAGTTGATGAGAAAGAATGCATATCGGAAGGAATATTTGCATTGCTACGTTAGCTGCAAATAAATAAATAAATCAGCTGCAAGAAACGACCGATCACAACGTTTGTCTTCTCCGATTGGAATTCCGATCGAGGAAAGGCTAGGGATGGATCAGATATTGGGGAAAATGGGCTCTTATTGGGTCGGCCAGAAAGCCACGAAGGAGCTCAGTTCCGTCGGCGATGACATCAACGTACGTCATCACCCTGCCTCTTCTCCTTTTTATTTGCTAGTATTTTTTGTACACCTTTCGTCTTGTATATACACAGATAATTTCCAAATGTTTTGTATACAATCAAAGTCATTCTTATAAACAAATTGTGCCTTTGATTCCCTTCACTCATAGTTGGTTCAAACACATGCACCCTTTATCAATTAGTTGTGAATTGTATGTCAACTTCATTGCCAAATTCACTTTCAAGTCGATTCTAAATGACCCTAGGGACGTGGAGAATCCTTTCTATTTCAAAAACTTCCAAATTTTTTCATTTGAATTTCATAGAATGTCAATTGTCACATTGATGTGTCTTGCTAATTAATGTATACTTCATAAACTCTTTCTTAGTTTCTATATTATTGTCACGTTTCACGCGATCATGTCTCCTTGTTCACGAGTAATTACACCATCAAATAAATCTCCATATATACTTACGACTAAAACTACACAAACATTATCTTAAAAAGGCTGAAGGGTCCCACCGGTCGTGTAAACTCAATTCAGTCTCTGAACTAAAAAAGGTTCAATTCACACCCGAACCGACAAATAATGATTCAAATTTCGTTTTCTACGGGTAAACAACCGGTCATTTTTTTTAATTTTTTGATTGTTTTTGTTTTTTATTTTCGATTTATTGCAATTTTGACACTTTTTAATAGTTCATGGGTGCGAATTGGATCGTTTTTACTTGTTGTTTATCCTTAAAAAATGAAATTTGAACTTTTTTTGCCGGTTCGGGGTGTGAATTGGACATTTTTTTAGTTCAGAGACTGAATTGAGCTTACATGACCGGTACAAGGAGCCTATTTGACCCTTTAGCCTCTTAAAATTAACTTTGCACACTTGGCAATAATTTACATAGTATCATTCAAATGAAAATGAAGGAAGTATTTTGTTTGACATTTTGTATTCTGACTGTTCTGCATACACTGATTAGTCCATGTCAAGCAGTATAGAAGGAGGAGCCAAATGGTTGGTTAACAAAATTAAAGGTGTGTTCCCTTCTACATCTGTCTTGCCCTTGAGGGTCCTAAAGGTTCATTTATATACATTTTGCCTTTATCTACATGCCTCCTACACAATTGGGTTAAGTCTTATAAAGACTTCATTTTTTGTATCTAGTAGTACACAATGAGTGAATGGGTAAAGATTGAGTTGAATTTACAGGAAAAGTTCAGAAGCCATTACCAGAGTTGCTTAAGGAGTATGATTTACCGATCGGCATATTTCCTCGGGATGCCACAAACTATGAGCTAAACGAAGAGACCGGAAAGCTGGCTGTGTATATACCCTCTATATGTGAAGTGTGTTACAAAGACTCATCTGTTTTGCGATTCAATACAACAGTAAATGGGCATCTTGAGAAAGGGAAGCTATCTGACATTGAAGGAATCAAAACAAAGTTTGTGATTTGGGTCAAAGTCTCTGCAATCTCCTCTGAGAACTCCTCTAAAGTCCTTTTCTCAGTTGGTATGAAGAAATCAAGAAATAGAGATGCTTATGAAGTTAGTAGAGATGGAATAAGTGTAGATAAGTTCTAATTATTAGTGACATCAAACTGGAAATGGAAAATGTGTGAACTCACTTTTAATTTATGCACTAAAAAGCTCAATTATTTGGGTCTTGAAAAGCCTGAAAACATTACTAGTAATCCAATTGTCGCATTTCATGAGGATTTTTGGTTCAGTATATATGTATGGGTGGGCATTTTGACTCATGGTTCCTATTTCTGGACATCTGGAATATATAAAATCAAGAAAATGGAAAGGCAGAAATTTCAAAAAAAGTGCACCAGCCGGGAATCGAACCCGGGTCTGTACCGTGGCAGGGTACTATTCTACCACTAGACCACTGGTGCTTTGTTGAAAGATAGTATTGTGTACCGGTATTTACTTCTTAAGAGTCTTTAATTGTCTTCACAAGTCCGTATAACAAAATCAAAACACATTGACTATATGAGTGCAATTGTTCCCATAAAAATGTATAATGGGAAAAATGGGACTAAATCTCTTTTACTTCCAATTTAGAGCTTATCTAGTCATGTTAAAGAATAAAATAGGTAAAGCTTTCAGCGAATAAATCATAATTAATAAAAAAAACAATATCAATAATGCTTTAGGTGAAGAATTTCTGAAACATAGGTGGAATAAGGATGTTTTTACTTGGACTGTAATTTGATTGGTTTGATCTGGTCTGGTGTGTTTAAATCTGTTCCGGGTCTGATTTTGTCTATTTAAGTCTGGTCTGGTAAATGTCTGGTCTCTCTGTATTTTATAACTACGGAAGTCTGATCTGGGTCTGTTTAATTCAGGTCTGATATGATATGTTTAAGTCTGATCTGGGTCTGTTTAATTCAGGTCTGATCTGATCTGTTTAAGTCTGATTTGGGACTGAAAACAGTCCAAGTAAAAACATCATTAACTCTCTGTATATAGCTTTGTGTATTGTTGATGTTTAATTTATTGAGGTTTACTGTTTTTGGGACTATATATAATATCTTTGAGTGTGTTTGGGTAATAGCTGCCGTTTTTTCAAAAGAAAACGATGTATTTTGGGTCGTTTAGGTCTGAATCCGCCAAAAAACAAATAGGATCAAAGTGTGTTGTTGCTACCTAAAATGTGTTGGAATTTGAGGATAAAAATAGTAAAATATAAGGGTGTATAAATTTGTCTGGACCGGATATCGCTTCTAGTCACGTATTAAATACGCTTTCCTAAAAGTTTACTATTTACCTTTATCACAGTAACCGGATTAAAAGATAGAACTTTTTGGAATAAAAAGAAGATGGACAAGTGTTAGCTACTGATAAAATAACACTTAAAAAGTGATTTGTATATAAAGTGGTCTAAATATTAATCATTATGAAGTTCATACCGACTTCACACGTTCAACATGCATTTATAGAAAACAACACACATGTTGTCTCACATCATTGTTGGTGGAATTGGCCGGATGAACCTGCAAAAAGTGTTAGAAAAATAATATAGCTTGAGTCGCGTAAACGCTGTCTTCAGGGCCGGTCCTGTCAATTTTTGGGCCTATGGGCGGTACGCTATTTTGGGCCTATATCCATGACAAACAATAAATCATATTTGGGCAATGAAGTTCATAAAATAAAGACGAGAATCACTTTATTATTATATAAATTACATATTTGGGCAAAAGTAACAACACGAGTATTGAATAAAAAGAAAAAATATTACTTAAAAACGTTTCTCGTAGACCAATGTGAAGCAAATCATTAATAATTGCTTCATATGCAACCTTCTTTCCACTAATAAATATGACAAACAATAAAATTGTCACATATAATAATAGTAAACTTTATGTTGAAAGGATAAATGAAAAGAAATATTACCACATATTGAATTCATAATTGAGCATGATTTATTAACCGATGATGAGAGTCTAAAGTTTGAAGTCTCGAAAGAATGAAGGTTTTCAAAGAAACAAAATGTTTGACTGTCAAGAGGACTCGCGCAAAAGATTGCAAATTTGACGTCCTCTAAAACTAATATTAGGAACTCAGATATAGCTTATTGAAATTTGGAAAGAAATGAATAATTGGGGTGAAATCTGAGAGAAACGGGCTTTAAAATAATTATATAAATTTGTTATGTTATAATTAAATTGAATAAAAAACCTTAAAAGTTAAAAAGATGTGAGGACTCGAGAGACGTGTCTTTTATTTATGCAGCAACAATTGTATTGCTTTTAAAAACTACAACCGATCCTGCTAAAAATTAATGTATATAATCTGTTTTAAACTTGTTCCTGTTTAAGACTCTTTATTTATGTTTTAAATTTTCAATTTGTCAACAAAATTAATCATTAGGCCTAATTAATTGAACTTAAGAATAAAAAAGAAGCCTACTCACAGTATATATAAAGAAAACATTTTGGGCCTATTTTTTCTTCTATTTTTTTCGGGCCTAGAGCGGTCGCCCCTCTTGCCCCCCCCCCCCCCCCCCCCCCCCCCTCTCAAAACCAGCCCTGGCTATCCTCAAGAAAGTATTTTCGACTAGCAAAAACCTTTCCCCATGATAAAACGAGCTCTTCAGCGTAAGCCGGTAGCAGAACAACGAGAGTAGAAAATTATATTAATCCAGTTGAGAAGAAAAAATTTTATGAGGGAGTTTTGATGCGGGTGAATTTATATTTTGATCACAGCTAGCAATTCTAAAACAAATCACGGATTAGGCTTGTATGCTTAATCTTTTCTTTATATGGAGCACCACACAAACACATATATAGAAGAACATACGTTGCTACCAGGTGGATAGAGAATCGTTGGTCATCTTTATTAATATTTAATATATACTTTAATAAGAATTAAAGCTACCAACGATTTTAAGAAAAAGTTCAAAAGAAAAATTCATTAATACAAATTTAGTAATGATCAACAAATGGTCAATGGATATGGTTTGTAACGTTCAACATAACGTCCAAAAATATTATTTTCATTATATGGTTATAATTTTATTTTGTAAATACATTTATTGATAAATTAGTGTGTGAAAAAATAATTAAAAGAAGTAACATTTTATTCATTTAAAATACTCTTAATTTTTCCAACAATCATCAGTTTCTTTTGAAATATTACGACTCTATGAAGAGTCATGATGGTTGTAATTCTTGTAAATTGGTGGCATTATCCTTCCCCAATTTTGAAATCAAATCAAAATAATATTTGATTATCATTTGATTACGTACGTACTTAGTTGCTCGCAAATGGCATGACTTTTGCCAATTTTATTTTTAAACAAAATTGACACACACGTACATCCATCACCATCAACTCATGATGCGTAATTTAATTATTATTATTATTATTATTAGTACATCAATAATTACTTTAACTAACAGGAAAAGTAATTTAAATGTCAAATAATACAATAACTAAATTTTAGGTCTATCCTTAATAAGGAGTAATATTATTATAATTATACTCAACAATAGCTGATCAAAATAATATTATTAAGGATCATGTTGAACACTTGAGTCATATTTCTTAATAAATTCCATCAATCCTCCTCCATTTATTGAGAAATAAACATGCTCAATCCTTGCCAAATAGACCACTTATCAAGACTTATGCATAATTGAAAGTGTCGTAAAGATTTGAACTTTCATTTAGTGCAATATTCTTTACAATATTTCGGATCATAGTAGTGACTAAGTTTCGAACTATATAACCACATTGAAATACTGAAGATATTACACACATAAATCTTTATACAATTTCACTTAGAAACTTGACACAATTAACGGTCTTGTGTCCATATCCTTTCATGAGCTCCAACAAGTAAAACCTTAAACTTGGTGAATCGGGCGCAATTCTAGCTCACATAGGTAGGTCTTTTCAAATTGTGTTCTGCAATCAAACACTTTATCAAAAGATCTATTAAGACATAGTCAACCTCATTACACATTGCAGACTCAAGCACTTACCTCGGGATGGTTCTTATTCAAAAGTGCTTCAACCACGGAGTGACTTACTCATCATCATTGAACTCAAGATCTAGCGTTGTACTAGACGTTGAGTTGGGCTTTCTTTCACTTGTGATTATTTTGTAAGGGCTTTAACCCCATCCCTTTTACCGTTTTGTACACCATGTCCCTTGCCATCGCTTTTGTAAAAGGATCAGCCAAATTCACATGTGTTCGTACAAAATCAACCACAACAACTCCAGAACTAATAAGTTCCCGCACATAGCTGTGTCTCACTCCTATGTGCCTTGACTTACCATTGTACACATGGTTTAGGCCATATTGGGACTTCTGACACTAAATCCTTTAGTCATTCCGCTTCTTTACAAGCTGATGCTAAAGCTATAAACTCCGAAGCCATGGTAGAGTCCGTGATACAAGTTTGTTTCTTAGATGCCCATGATATAGCACCTCCTCCAAGAAGAAATAATCATCCACTTGTGGGTGAATAATCCTCTTGATTAGTTATCCAACTTGCATCCGTATAACCTTCTAATATAGAGGGTTCACTCTTGTAACATAAGCCGAAGCTCATTGTTTTCTTTAGATATTTCAACACTCGCTTCAAGGCTTGCCAATGAAATATAGTGAGGCTACTAGTATATCTACTTAGCTTGCCTACCGCAAATGCTATATCTGGTTGGGTGCTAGTCATTGCGTACATCAGACACCCAATTACCCTAGCATATTCCAACTGTGATACAATATTCCCACTATTTAGAACTAATTTCCAGCTAGGATCCATAGGAGTGGAGATCGGTGAACAATCCAAAATCCCAAATCTTTTCAACACTTTCTCTGTATAGTGAGATTGTGTTAAGGTGATAGTATCACCTTGCTTTATTATCCTAATTCCAAGGATAACTTCCGCTTCACCCATATTTTTCATGGAGAAGTTTGAACAGAGGAAAGCTTTCGTCTCTTTTACTTGCCTCAAATCAGTGCCAAATATGAGCATGTCATCCACATATAGACATATAATGACACCGTTACCATGCTCATTAAATTTGCTATATATGCACTTGTTTGATTGTTTATTTTAAAACCATTTTTAAGCATCACCTCATCAAACCTTTGATGCCATTGTTTAGGTGCTTGTTTCAGACCATACAAAGACTTGACAAGTTTACAAAGTTTCGTTTCTTGTCCTTTAACTACAAACGCTTCGGGTTGTTTCATATACACCTCCTCCTCCAATTCACCATTTAAGAATGCAGTTTTCACATTCATTTG